GTCCTTTTTCGTGTGTTTTCCGCGCGTCTCGAGTACGACGTCTCGCCCGAAGCGAGCCCGTCGTACGCGCGAGCGCCGTTGATGTGGTCCGTTACGCGTCGCAGGCGCCTCCAGCGCCTCTTCCCGAACCTCGACTTCCGCCTCTCCTGGTCCGTGCGCTTCAACGTCGTCGTCCAGACCATCGACGCGATCGCGCTCGACTCGAACCTCGAGCTCACGCGCGTCGACATGGAGGTCCGCCGCTCCACGGTCGGCGTCTACGAGGACTCGCTCGCCTGCCAGCTCCTGGGCCAGACCTACTACGTCCACCCGGACAAGACGATCAAGATCACGGTCGACCTCGTCGTCACGAGCGAGGTCATCGGCGCGTTCCCGCGTCCGCGACGGCCGTCGTTCCGCGCGCGAGATCGGTTTCCCTCGCAGGCACGGCCCCGGGCCGCGCCGAGGTCCAGATCAAGGAGCTGGGCTTCCACTTCATCGACCCGCTCGCGCCCATCGCGGAGAAGGAGATCGTGCCGCGCGTCCGCGTCTTCATCCCGTACCTCGGCATCGAGGGCTGGATCAGCATCACGTCGCGCGGCCCCGCGTCCTTCTCGACGCGCCCCAGAGCTTCGTTCGACGCGTCGAGAGCCTCGCCCGACGCGCCCTTGGACGCCTCAGGTTGGACGACGGCCACCTCATCGTCGAGCTCAAGTACCTCCAGGCCATGCACGTCAAGAACCGCATGCTCAAGAAGTGCTGCTACACGCTCTACCTCCTCGAGCTCGCGGACAGGCTCCGGGCCGAGTCCTCCCGCGAGACCCTCAAGACGGCGCGCAAGAACGTCGTCGAGGTCCGCTCCCGCGTCCGCGAACGCGCGCCGACGCGACCGCGTCGTCTCCGTAGGCCGAGGGCGAGTACCAGCTCGCGCTGTCGAACTACCGCCAGATGGAGCTCTGGTGCTTCTTCAAGGTGTGTTTGTGGGTTTGCAAAATCATCGATCGATCGTCGCCCCCTCCGCAGCTCGACATGGCCCTGCTCGCGCGCCCGACGCTCGCGGGCGTCATCCGCAAGTTCGCGAACGCGATCGCGCGCAAGGCCGCCGAGGCCCGCGGCGAGACCTTCGTGCCCACGCCCTACGACGAGACGGCCGTCGACGCCGTCGTCGTGACGGCGGTCCCGCCCGTCGCGCCCGTCGTCGCGCCGGAGCCCGCGCCGCCGGCCGTCGCGGCCATGGACGCGCGACGCCCGCGTCCGTCGTTTGCACTCGTTTTTTGTTCGAATTGTTCGTTTCGTAGGTCTCGGCGCCGGCGGGGCCGCCGCTCAAGGCGCTGGAGGGCATGGGCAAGAAGGAGCTGGGCGCGGAGCTCGACGGCGCGGGCGTGCCGAGCAAGGGCCGGGCCGTCAAGAACACCGCGATCGAGATCCTCCGCGACCTCGTGCGCCGCCTCCGCGCCGGCGAGCCCGCGGCGTCGCTCAAGGTCCCGCGCAAGCCCAAGTCCGCCGAGGAGCTGTTCTGCTGCGACAAGGCCGAGCAGCTCGCGTGCCGCGCGAGGACCCGGCGTCTGTCGACTTCGAACTTTCGCGCGCGGACCCTTTTCGTCGTCGCAGGCCACGCTCGTCGCGGACGGCGCCAAGAAGGTCAAGTTCGACTACTGCAAGAAGGGCAACGCCAACGGCACGGACTACCTCATCGAGCGCTTCCGCGGCCTCGCGGAGACGGACCCGCTCCGCCTCGAGTTCGACGAGCTCGCGCGCCGCGACGTCGCCGCGGCGGCGGCCGACGAGCTGCCCGTGGACCGGCTCCAGCGCGTGCCCGACCCCGGCCTCGTGAACCTGCCGACGATCTGGCCGCGCATGCGGTTCCCCGTCCGCGTCGCGACTTTGGGGCTCGAGCGACCAAGGCTCTTTCCCGCGTCCAGGTACGCGCAGCCGGAGTGCGGCGTGCGCTACCCCTACGGCTCCAAGCTCGGCCTCTTCAAGGGCCGCGTCGGCGGCGGCGCCCGATGTTTCGAGCGATTGGCGTCCGTCTCGTCCGAGACGCGCGTCCGCGAGAGACTCGACGCCTTCGACTCGACGCCTCGGCCGCGCGAAAGTTCCGCGCGCTCTAGTGCTTCGGCTGCTGCGTCTGGGCCCAGTGCGCCGCGCGGCCCGAGGAGTTCCCGAACCTGCTCAAGGCCCTGGCGACGGTCCCGCGCGTACGCGAAGCCGCGTCCTCGGTTTCGAGCGCTCGGACCGACGCGTCGTCTCGCGTAGGTCTCGCTCTACCTCACGGCGGTACTTCGGCCCGCGCCTCCCGGCCCACGACGCGCATTTCTGGATCGTGACGCCGCTCGTAGGTCGACGTCAACGACATGGAGACGCTCCGCGCGCGGGCGCGTCGGACGGCCGCGTCCTTCTTCTGAAACGTGTATTTGAGAGCCCGCGCGAGAACGAGGCTCTCGCTCCAGGGCCGTGTTCTTCTCGTAGGCATGTGCTACCGCGTCATCCGCGACGCGAAGCGGCGCATCGCGAACCACCTGCCGCGGGCCGAGGACGACCAGTGCCCCGCGTACTACGGTGTCGACTACCGGGAGTCGCGCGGCGCGCGCACGTGCCAGTTCACGGTCCACGAGGGCACGAAGACCCTGGCGCAGAAGAGCGCCCCGGCGGACCGTCAGCGTTCCCGCGTCGAAATTATTTTTTGAGACGCATCGGACCCAGCGGCCCGTAGCGCGCTTCGAGGCCTTCGGCTCCGGCGGAGGCGGCAACACCCGCGGCAACGTCCTGAGCCACCCGACGGCCGTCGCCGTCTACCGGCGCGATCTCGGCGTCCACGCGCCGCCCCGCGCCCTCACCGCCCCTCGCAGCGAGCGCCTCGAGCGCAAGAACCGCATCGCCGGCGGCGCGGCCGCGGCGTCCGGACCCGTCGTCGACGTTCGAAACCCGTCTCGCGCGTAGGCATCGCCGTCTTCAACTTCCCGTGGCACCCCTACGCGCGTCGCCAGCGCGCCCCGCGTCCTTGTGTCGTCACACTGTCAAATCGTAGGAGGCGCTCCGGTCGCTGGAGAACGCCTTCTCCGAGTTCATGCCGGTACGTGGCTCGGCGGCGGATCTCTCGTTCTGACCCGCGCCCTTCGCAGGAACGCTTCTACGGCATCCGCGGTCACGAGACCGCCTACAGCTGCCCCGAGGGCAAGTTCCAGGCGCTCGCCTCCATCCCGGGCGCGCGCGGCGGCGGCAACCGCGACGACGCGATCACCTTCGGCCTCTACGACTCCAAGGTCGAGGTCGCGCCGCCGCGTCCCCGGAGTCCCGCGCGGCGACGGACCGCGACATCTTCTAGGCCGCGGCGCACTTCAACATCGGCACGACAGTCATCGGCCAGATCGTCGGCGAGCGGCTCCGCTGGCTCAACGACCCGATGGACCCGGGCGCGACCGCGGCGTCTCGTTTCGCGAAAACGCGTTCGCGACGCGCGCGACCCCTCGCAGAGATCGCCGCGGTCAAGGCCTCCTGCTCCGGCGTCTCCCATCGACGTCTCCGCGACGTCGCCCGTGTAGGTCTCCATCCAGGAGAAGCACCGCATCTCCGAGGTCGTCGTCGCGCGCATCGAGGAGGTCAACGTCGCGCGCGCCGAGGCCGAGAAGCCGCTGCCGCCGCTCCACGTCGCGGGCACGTCGCGGCGTCGAGGTTTCGAAGCCATTTCCAAACCCGTCGCCCCTCGCAGGCCTCGAGCGCTACAAGGCCGACTTCGCGCTCCAGCTCAAGGATTTGGCGTACGTCGAGGCCGCGGACGAGGCCTACCTGCGCGACCAGGCCGCGGCGTTGGCGCCGCCCGAGCCCATGCCCGACGGCTCCCGGCCGCCGATCGACGCGCACTCGCGGCGCGTCGCGCGCGCGGGCCTCGCGAACACGTTCGAGCGCATGATCGAGCGCCGCCGCGACCGCGCCGCGCGCGAGCGCGAGGAGGCCCAGGCGCGACGCCGCGTCCCGCTTTTGGCCATGAGTTTATGACTCGTCGGCCCCACGCAGACCGCCGCGTCCACGGCCGCCGTCGCGAACTTCTACCGCGACCCGTGCGGCCTCCTCGAGCCGCGGGCGCTCGCGCCGCCCGGCCAGCCGCGCCGCGTCGCCAAGCTCTACGTCGTGCCCAACTGCGAGCTCGTCACGCCGCCGCCGCCGCCGATCTACCACGTCACGGAGAACGGCGAGCGGCTCCTCGTGCTCTACGCGACGCGCGTCCAGCGGCCGCTGATCCCCGCGATCCAGCAGGTGCACAAGCAGCGCGCGGAGTTCCTCTCGCTCTTCGACGAGTCGGAGGTCGAGATGGCCGCGGCCATGTTCGACTCGCGGCCCGAGGAGATCGCCCGGCCGCTGCTCTTCGAGTCCGAGGAGGACGCGGAGCGCCGCGCCGAGCCGGCCGCGCCGAAGCGCAAGCGCAAGTCGCGCAAGAAGAAGCGCAAGGTGCGCGCCCTCTTCCCCGTGTCCTTTCAAACCCGATGATCCCTCGTCGCTCGCAGGCCGCCGCCGCCGCCGCCGCCGCCGCCGCGGAGCGGGGCGACGAGGCGGCGCCCGCGGCCGACGGCGCCGCGGAGCCCGCGGCCGCGCCCGAGGCGCCCGCCGAGGCGCCCGCCGAGGCGCCGCCGACGGCGCCGCCCGTCGAGGCGCCCGCCGAGGCGCCGCCGCCGGCCGCCGCGCCGGCCAAGAAGAAGAAGAAGAAGCGGGCGCGCCGCCGCGGCCCCGCGCCGCCCGCCGAGATCTCCGAGTACGAGCGCACGCGCATGCGCAACATCGCGGCCGGCAACAAGAAGCTCTACTCGCTCGGCCTCATCCACCCGCCGCCGGAGGTCGTCGCCGACCCCGAGCACTCGTGGTGGTCCGAGCGCGCGAGGACCCGCGTCTTTTTTGTTTCGCGCCTTCGACGCGCGCTCCCGCAGGCCCAGTCGTGAGCCTCGGACCACGACGCATCCCCCAAGCTCCCCTGTCTACGAACCCCACCGCATGAACCCTCCAGCGCTTCCCCTCGCGGCCCGCGCCCGACGCACCGAGCCCCTCGCCGCCCCGTCCCCGTAAAAGGCCCGCGCGCGGCCCACGCTGGCCCACGGTGACGTTAGGTCGTCCAGGAGCCCGGCGACGCGAGCCGCAGCGGCGACGGGGACCGGAGCGGCGCGGCGAGGCGGTCCGCGTCGGCGAAGACGAGGTCGAGCGCCGTCGCCGGCTCCGGCCTGTGTGGAAATCAACCAGTGAGCTGGGACGTCGGGGCCAAACTTGAGAATGCTCTAGCTCGGTCAAATCGAAGTCGATTCGGCTGATTTTTGGACGAATCGATTGCTCTCAGCGAGTTCTCGAAGCACGGCGGAAGTGCTCGTGTCAAAACATTCAAATACGCACACATTGAAGTCGGGTTGAAGATTTGATTTCCACAGAGGCTCCGGCTGCGCGCGTGCGGCCACGAGCTCCACCGCGAGTGCGCCGAGCGGCTCGTGGCCGCGTCGGACCGCGACGGCGCCCAGTGCCCCGACTGCAGGACGCCGCTCGCGGACCTCGACCTGCGGGGCGTCGGCGGCAGCTCGGCGGCGGAGCGCGCGACGCGGTTCTCTCTGGACCGGGCGGTCGACGCGAACCCGGACCTCCACCGGTGTCCAACTCCCGACTGCGGCTTTGTCTGCACGTGGACGCCCGCGGACGGCCCGCCGCGGCTCTCCTGCGCTCGGTGCAACAAAACGTCGTGCCTCTGCTGCGGCAAGCCGTGGCACGAGGGCTCGTGCGAGGACGCCGCGGCCGCGGGCGACGACGAGGAGGCCGCGAGGCGGACGCGCGACTACCTGCGAACGGCGGGCATCCGGCGCTGCGCGCGCTGCGGCGCGGGCGTGGTGAAAGCCAGCGGGTGCGACAAGATGCGGTGTCTCTGCGGCTACGAGTTCTGCTACGTCTGCCTCGCGCCCGGCGCGCGCTGCGGCTGCACGCCGAGCCACCACCTCTTCTTCGACAACAAGACGGGGCGGCCCGTGACCCCCGCGCGGAGGTGGCGGCGGTAATTACGCCGACTCACTGCTGGGGCGGGAGGGAGGGCTGGGGCGCGTCGGCGGGGACCGCGTCCGGGCCCGGCTGGTGCTCGAAGGCGACGGGAGGGTTCGGGGACTTCTTCTTCTTCTCGTCCTTGAAGAGCTTGCGGCCCGCGTAGAGCTTCTTCTCCTTCTCCTTGTGGGCCTTCTCCTTCTTCGCGATGTCGAGGAGGCCGCGGCGCGCGTCCTTGTTGGCCGCGTCGATCGCCAGCGCCTTCTTGAAGAGCGCCTTGGCCTCGACCCAGTCGTCGAGCGCGAGCTTCGCCTTGCCGCGGCGGAACAAAGCCTTGAGGTTGGCCGGGTCCTTCTCGAGGACCTCGCGGCAGTCCTTGTCCGCGTCGGCCCACTTCTCCAATTTCAGGTGGCACATGGCCCGGTTCAGCTTGAGGGCCGCGGAGACCTTGCCGAGCTCCGCCTTCTGGGCGTCGTCGAGGTCGTAGTCCGACGCGGCGATGTTGAGCGCCGCGCCGTAGCGGCGGCTCGCGCGCGAGAAGTCGCCCGCGGCCACGTGCGCGTTCCCGAGGCCCTTCTTCGCCTCGCACGCGGCGATCTTCGCGGCGCCCTTGAGCTCCCAGGTCGGCGGCTCCTCGACGAGGCCCACCAGCTCGAGCTCGCAGTCGAGCGCGCAGCCCGCCAAGGGGCCGTCCGCGAAGCCGTGCGTCGCCGCGATCGCCGCCGTCGCGACCTCCCCGACCTTCATCTTCTTCACGACGGCCTCGACGCCGCCGCAGACCGACGCGCCCCCGTCGGCGTTGCGGTCCTCGTCGACGGTCCACGTCGAGGAGTCTTCCGAGTCGAGCGCGCCGTAGTCGACGCGGACGGAGTCGTCGCCGCGCTTCCACACGGAACCCCGGACCGTGACCTTGCCCTCGTCCTGGGGCGTCTTCCAGTCGTCCTCGCCCTCAGCCCGCTCGCGCTTGACGCGCTTGACGACGGCGCCGGGCGCGTCGCGGACGCAGTCCTCGTTCTCGACCCACGACACGACCTCGAGCTCGACCTCCGCGTCCTCGGCCGTGACCAGAAAGTTCGCGACCTCGCCCTTCTTCATGCCGTGCACGCCCTCGCGCACCTTGGCGGGCACGCCGGCGGGCGGCGGGCCCGCGGCGGGCCAGGACGCGGCCTTCCAGTCGCCGTCGCTCCCTTTGACCTTGAGCTCGACGTCGCAGCGGTCGTTGGGCATCTTCCAATCGGCGTCGCTCCGCTTCACCTTCTTCTTCAGCAGGCTACCGTCGCGGCAGACGTCGTCGCGGTCCGTGAAGCTCAGCAGCTCGATCTCGAAGTCCAGGCTCGCGTTCGGCGGGATCTTCGGCGGCGAGCCCGACGCGCCGTAGGCCTTGTCCGAGCAGATCGTGAACTTGGCGATTTCGCCGACCTTCATCGTCGGCACGGCCTCGGACCAGCCCGTGATGACGCCGCTGCCCACGGTGAAGTCGAAGGGCGAGTCGCGGTCCCGCGAGCTGTCGAACTTGGAGCCGTCGGCGGTCAGCGTGCCCACGTAGTGGACCTTGACCTTGTGGCCGTCCTGCGGCGACGCCGTGTTCTCCGCGGGGGCCGCCTTGACGATGGTCTTCATGATGGACCCGTCGCCCATGATGTCGATGGGCTCACCCATGGCTGGTGTGCTGCGAGGCTGCGGACGGCGCGGATTTGTATAGTCGACTTCGACGGCGAGCTGGGCTGGAGCTCGGCGCGATCGGCGCTTGCGCTGTGCGGCAACCTCGGCTTCGAGACGTTCAACGTTTCCCTCCCGAGGGTCGGGAGAGGCCTCGGGAGAGAAGAGGCAATTGTTACTCGTCGCCCTTGGCCTCCTTCTTGGCCTTGCCCTCGTCGTCGGAGTCGAAGAGGCGGTGGACCCTCGGGCGGACGAAGGCCGCGGTGCCCTTGAGCTCGTACTCGTAGTCGTCGGGCATGGCCTTGAAGAGCAGGTTCAGCTTGGGGCTGTGGGCGATGGTGCGCGGGTCGAAGGACGGGTCGCGCTCGAGCATGCGCGCGCCCACGAGCGTCAGCGGACTCCAGCCGGCCTCGTCCGCGCACTCGTCGACGACCTCGCGGAGCGCGTCGAGCGCGCGCGCGCGGGCCTCCGCGTCGACGGCGCCGGCCTTGAAGGGCTTGCCGCTCGGCGACGGCGCCGACGGCCGGCGCCGCGCGTCCTTCTCGAGCGTCTCGATGGTGATGAAGGCGTTGCACGCGTTGACGAAGCCCTTGGGCGTCTGCGCGCGGCCGACGCCGACGACCGTCGACGGGTGCTCGCGGATGCGCGTCGCCAGCCTGGTGAAGTCCGCGTCGGAGCTCACTAATACAAAAGCCTGGTAGCGGTTGCTGTGCAGCAGGTCCATGGCGTCGATGATCAAAGCGCTGTCCGTCGCGTTCTTGCCGCCGTGGCTGAACTGCTGCACGGGCACGAGGCTGTGCTCGGCGATGCGCGCGCGCCAGGGCGCGAGCTGCGGGCTCGCCCAGTCGCCGTAGATGCGCCGCGCGGACCGCGTGCCGAAGCGCGCGGTCTCGCGCATGATGAGGTCGATGCTGTTGTGGCTCGTGTTGTCCGCGTCGATCAGGATCGCGAGCTGGGGCTCCTCTCCCCGGTCGTTGCCGCCCGCCGCCGCCTCCGCGAGGACGGTCTGCCGCGCCTTCATCTCCGCGACGGTGTCGTTGAGCTTCGCCTGCTGCGCGGTCACGGCCTCGAGGGCGAGGCGCAGCTTCTCCTCGCCCGCGCCGCCGGCCCCGCTGTTGTTGCCCCAGAAGAAGCCGCGCGTCTGCAGCGCTCGGGCCGTGCGCTTGAGCGAGCGGCGGAGGAGCATCGTTGCTGTGTTTTATGAAGCGCGGAGACGCTCTCGGACGGCAACTACAAGCCGGCCATGCTCGAGCCACAGCGCAGCCAGCATGCAGTTCAACACCGGCTCAGCCGAGCGAGCGCTCACGGTCAGCTCCGCTGCTTAAACCCAGGGGTGCGCAGAGCCGAGCGAGCGCGCCGCCGAGAAGATGGGCGAGGTCGTCGTGCCGCGGAACTTTCGCGCGAGCGCCAGCGCGGGACGACACGATCGCCGCGCGCCGCCGCCTCGAACGAGCGACGATGCGCCTTTCAAACCAAATCGAAACTTTGTCGCCGCCGGACGCCTTTACCCGCGCAGCTCCTCGACGAGCTCGAGAAGTTCGAGAAGGGCCTCACCGGCGACATGAACGTCTCCGCTGGCGCGCCGCCCGCGCCGCCCGGGCCGCGCGACCGCCGCGCGGCGACCCGCGGCGACCCGCCCGCAGGCCTCAAGGACCCGGAGGACATCTTCCTGACGACGTGGAACGTGGCGATCATGGGCCCCCTGAGCACGGTCTACGAGAACCGGCTCTACTCGTGCGAGCTCGCGCGGCCCGGCGCCCTCCGCGCGCGCGCGGCGCCGCGCGGCGACGCTTCCGCCGCGCGCAGGTCTGCGGCCCGCGGTACCCGTCGGTCCCGCCCGAGGTGAAATTCATGAGCAAAATCAACATGTCGGCCGTCGACGGCGAGGGGAACGTCGTGCGCGTCCGGCGTCCGCTCTTTGACAGCGCGCGTCGTCCGATCCCCCGGCGCCCCTCCGCAGAACATGCGAAAATTAATGCCCAACTGGAAATACGCGAACACGATCGCCGACGTGCTCGGCGAGATCCGCAAGAACATGGCCAGCAACGCGAACCGCCGCTTGAATCAGCCACCGGAGGGCGCGAACTACTGAGCCCCGCCGCCGTTGGGCGCGGCCGCCGCGCGAGACTCCCCACCGCCCCCCCTCTATCAATAGTCCGCTGTCGAAAACCGAGTCTTAGTAGCCGGCGTCGGACCAGGTCACCTCGTAGCCCGGGAGGACCTCCCGGATGATCCCGGCCGTCCGCTCGTTGCAGCCCGGCGATCGCCCGAAGGTCTTCGAGTAGCCGTAGACGCTGATGGTCTTGTTCACCTCCGTTCGGGCTATCCGTCCGCCCCCAATCACGCGCACGTGGATGCCCAGCGGGTGCAGGAGCGAGTGCACGACGTCGAAGTTCTCCGCGTGGAATTTCAGGCCCTCGAGCGCGCGGACGATTTGTTTTCTGCGGCTCCCGAGCTCGCACTCGAGGAGCACGAACTTCCAGGTGCCCTCGGCGACGTCGACGGCCTTGAGGCCGTCGAAGGCGTCCTCGGCGCCGACGGCGGGGCCGGAGACGCCCTCGTCGTGGCGGGCTAAAATGTCCTTCGCCGCCTTGTTGAGCGGCGCGCCCGTGACGTCGTCGAAGCGCGCGCGACCCATCTGTTGGCCGCTGCTGCCGGAGGCGAGGAGCAGGCACCAGAGCGCTGCCAACGATGGGCGCATTTATGGGCTCATAGTCCGAGGCTGCGCGGCACCGTCGACTTCTTGAACAAGCAGCCCCCGGCTCCGATGGCTGCGATGTTGCCTGCCTTGCCCTCCCGATAGCATGCAGGTCGTGCTCGTGCGCGACGCGGCCGGCGGCGGCGTCGCGCCGCTGAAGCTGACGCTGCCGCCGAAGTGGGCGGCGCGGCCGCTCCGGGCGCTCCTCGACGCCTACTGCAAGAAGCAGCAGCTCGACGCCGCCGAGTTCGCGCTGGCGCGCGGCGGGAAGCGCTTCGACGAAAAGGCGCTGATCGGCGCCACGCTCAAGGACGGCGACTCCTTGCTCGTTGTTGCGCGTGTGAGCGCCGACGAGCAGCGGCGAGCGGCCGCGGAGAAGGGAAAAGACGCGGAGAAGGAAAGAGCCGCCGAGGAGCGCGCCGCCACCGCCGAGCAAGAGAAGGAGAGAGCCGCGAGGCGGCGCGCCGCCGCCGAGAAAGAGAGGGAGAAAGCCGCAAAGCAGCGCGCCGTCGCCGAGCAAGAGAAGGAGAAAGCCGCGAGGCGGCGCGCCGCCGCCGAGCAAGAGAAGGAGGAAGCCTCGCAAACGAAACCGACACCGCTCGCGCTCGCGCCGCATCCCGAGGACTTCCCCATCCTCGGCCTCGCGCTGAGCCTCGCGGCGGCCGTGGACCGCCGGGCCCTGCGCGTCGCCGCCGTGGGCCCGTCGGGCCGCGAGGCGCCGTGCTGGCTGTCGTCGACGGCGGACACGGAGCCCGCGCCCACGGGCCTGGCTAGGCCGCCGGCGGACGGGCGCTTCACGGTCGCGCTGCACCCGAGCGAGGCCGGCGACCACGAGATCCGGCTGTTCCTCGACGGCGCGGCGGCCGGCGCGCTGCCCTGGGCCGCGCCCGAGCCCCCGGCGCCCGCGCCGCGGCCCTGGGGCGAGCTGCCGCCGGGCCGCCGCGACGCCGTCGAGGCCTGGCTGGAGCGCGAGGCCCGGGGCGGCCGCTGCGCCGCGTCGCTCGAGCGGACGGACACGGTGCAGCTGCCGCTCCCCGCCGTCGACGACTTCCGCGGGCCGGAGCCCGTGGCCTGGCGGCGGCCGAAGCCGGGCGCCGTCGCCGTCGTCGAGGACTTCGTGCCCGCGGCGCTGCGCGAGCGGCTCCTGCGGGAGGCGGGCCACCTCGTCGTGAGCAACGTGCGCCTGTCGTCGACGCTCTACGGCAAGCGGGCGGAGTACGTGCCGGGCTACCGCACGAACAGCAGCTGCTTCCTCGACGAGCGCGACGCGCCGTGCGTCGGCGAGCTGCGGCGGCGCGCCGCGGCCTACTTCCCGGAGGTGGCGCCGGACCTCATCGAGCTCCAGCTCGTCCACTACAAGCCCCGGGAGTTCTACAAGCTGCACCACGACTGCCCCGCGCGCGCGCCGAACGGCCACTACCCGCGGCGCTACTCCGTCTTCTGCTACCTCGCGTCGCCGGACAAGGGCGGCGGCACGGCCTTCCCGCGGGCACAGACCTTCGAGGGCGACCCGGCCTTTTGCGAGCCCATGGCCGGCGGCGGGTTCCTCGTGGCGCCGCCCGCGGGCTGCGCGGTCGTCTGGGACAACTTGGACCCCTGCGGCGACCGCCTCGACAAGCGCGCGGAGCACAGCGGCACGGCCATCGACGCGGGCGAGAAGTGGGGCATCAACGTCTGGCTCCCGTCCGAGTTCTCCATGCTGTCGTCGTCCGCGCGGCTCGTCGCCGCGCCGACGTCCGCGGCGGACCGCGCGCGCGTCGCGCGCGAGCTCGGGCGCTGCGTCGCCGACGTCGTCTTCGACGAGCGCCTCGGCGCCGCGGGCGACGACGGCGACGCGGCGGCGGCGGCGCCGGCGGCGCCGAAGGACCTGCTCCGGGCCGTCGCGCGCGAGCTGCCCCGGGACGTCCGCGAGGGCAAAACGGGCCGGCTCCAGCTCGTCCTCCAGCGCCGCCGGCTCCTCCGGCCGGGCCGGCCCCCGGAGGAGCGCGCCTGGATCGAGCTCCGCGGCGAGGTCCCGGCGTCCGCGCGGCGCGACGTCATGCGCGGCCTCGCGGCGACGACGACGGCACTGAAGCTGCACGTGAAGGCGGACCCCGCGCGGATGACCTGGACCTCGTAGCAAAAAAGGGAGGTTAGGCGCCTCTCGCTCCTAGTAGTCGCACGTGCCGCAGGTGACGGGGCAGCCGACGTAGGCGGACACGTCGTCCTCGTCCTCCTTCTCGCAGCGCTTGTCCGGCTTCTCGGCGACGTAGTCGCAGGCCTTGTCGGGCCGGCCGTCCTGGTGCCACGACGACGAGTCCGCGCATTCGCTCTCGTCGCCGTCCTCGCACGTCCCGCACGTGACGGGGCAGCCCCCGTAGGCGTCGACGCCGGACTCGTCCTCCTTCTCGCAGCGCTTGTCGGCGTTCTCGGCGACCCAGTCGCAGGCCCGGTCGGGCCGGCCGTCGCGCATCCACGACGACGAGTCCGCGCACCCGCTCTCCGCCTCGTCGTCGCAACCACCGTAGTCGACCATGAATTGGCACTCGTCCTGGCACCAGCACCCCCACGACGGCCAGGCATCCACCGCGACGAGGTCGTCGCCGAAGATTTCCTCGCACTGGTCCCAGCAGTCGGTCGCGGACGACGCGCAGCCGGCGTAGTAATCGACCTCGCTGTAGCAGAAGCCCTGGTCCACGTGGAGCGTCGTGCCCGCCGGCGCGTCGACGGCGTCGGACGCGAAGTCCTCGTCGCAGCCGGCTTGCCATGCATCTTCTTCATCGTCATCGTAGATGTAACACTCGCCCTCCTCGCCGTCGAACGACCACTCGCAATTTTCGCCCCAATCTTCGTCCGACGAATTGATCCAAAGGCAGTCGTCCGTGTCGGGGCCCGAGCATAAATTGTACTGGAGGCCGTCGCAGATCATCTCGTAGCAAAGTCCCTCGGCGTACAGGCACGCCTCGTTGCCCCACGGGTCGTCCGGGTCGAACTCGCAGTCGCCGTCGTACTCGACCGTTGAGAGATTCTCGCCGTCCTCGTCGGCCCCCTGGCAGTCCGGGAGCGACGCGCCGACGACGGCGTCGCGCGTGAGCACGTATACGGTATCGTCCCAGTCGCCGTCCTCGTCGCCGTCCTCGTCCTCGTCGCCGTCCTCGTCCTCGTCGCCGTCCTCGCACGTGCCGCACGCGACGGGGCAGCCGACGTAGGCGGACAGGCCGTCCTCGTCCTCCTTCTCGCAGCGCTTGTCCGGCTTCTCCAAGACCCAGTCGCAGGCCCGGTCGGGCCGGCCGTCGCGCATCCACGACGACGAGTCCGCGCACCCGCCGTCTTCACCGTCCTCGCACGTGCCGCACGCGACGGGGCAGCCGACCTGGGCGGACACGCCGTCCTCGTCCTCCTTGTCGCAGCGCTTCTCCGGCTTCTCGGCGACGTAGTCGCAGGCCCGGTCGGGCCGGCCGTCGTCGTGCCACGACGACGAGTCCGCGCAGTCCTCCGAGTCGCCGTCGTCCTCGTCCTCGTCCTCGTCGTCGCAGAGGCCGCAGGCGTCCTTGCAGGCGACGTTGCCGTCGACGCCGTACTCGTCGACCTTGGCGCACCGCTTCTCCGGCTTGTCGGCGACGTAGTCGCAGTCGCGGCTCGGCTTGCCCGCCTCGTGCCAGCTCGCCGAGTCGCCGCACTCGAAGAGCTTCTCCGCGGGCAGCGGGCACGTCGCGCAGGTCACGGGGCACGCGACGGCCGCCGCGACGCCGCCGTCGTCCTCGTAGTCGCACCGGTTCTTCTTGAAGGCGAACTCGCAGGTCTTCGAGGGCGACCCGGCCTTGTACCAGCTCTTGGAGTCCTCGCAGGGCGAGGCCAAATTGGCGGCCTTTTGCTTCGTCGCCATGTAGGTGTGCATGGTCACGGCCGTCGTGACGTCGCACGCGGCCGCGTCGAGGCGCGCGCCGTCGTGGGCCTGCATGCCGTCCATCATGCCCGTCATCTTGGCGTCGACGCGGCTCGTGAGGATCGTCGACTCCTCGTAGAACCGGAGCGGGTCGGCCTTCATGGCGTCGACGCTCAGGTCGTAGGACGCGTTCATCGCCATCTCGTCGGCGTCCATCACGCTCAGCGACTTCATGTACATGCCCGCGCGGACGCAGGACGTCGTGCCCTCGTCCTGGCTCATGGACCCGTCGCTCTCGACGCGGAAGGCCTGGGTCATGACCGTGTCGCCCGTCTGCTCCACCGTGAACGAGTAGGCGAGGTCGTACGCGTCGTCGCCGAAGCTCTCGTGGTCCGCCGCCATCGCGACGCGCAACTTGACGTCGTCGCGGTCCGTGAAGGCCATGCCCATCTCGACGTCGTGGGCCGTGGCGCCGTCCGTGTAGACGTAGCCGCTCAGCACGCTGTCGAGCTCCTTGGACCCGTCGACGCGGAGCTTGAGCCCGAGCGAGGCCGTCGTCGCGTCGTCCTCGCTGTCGCCGTCGGCCGTGACCGCGACGGCGAGCATCTCGTCGTCGTCGTCGCCCTCGTAGATGGCGAGGGCGACCTTCATGTCCGCGTCCTCCGTGCCCAGGGCGCCGCCCATGACCAGGAGCATCTCGAGGAACCCGTCGAAGGTGTCGTCGTCGTCGACGCGGAGCTCCAGCGACGCGACGCCGGAGGCCCGCTCGTCGCCATCGTCGCCGTCGACGGCGAGGCCCGCGTAGAAGAACTCCTTGCCGAGGCAGGACACGCACGCCTCCCTGCACGCGTCCTCGGCCTTGACCTTGAACTCGTCCTTCGACTTGCACCGCTTCGACTTCTTCGCGACGTAGTCGCAGTCCTTCGACGGCTTCTTCGCGTACCACGACGTGCTGTCGACGCACTCGTCGATGTTCAGGTTGTTCACCTTCGTCCACGCGACGAGATCCTCGTCGACGCCGTCGCTCCAGTCGACGGACGAGTCCCAGGTGCCCTTGACCTTGATGTCCTCGTCGACGGCGACGACGAGCTCGCTCTTCACGGTCTTGGCGCCGCCGGACGCGTCGTCGGCGTCGACCTGGAAGCCGATGAAGAGCTTGTCGTCGCCGTCCTCCTTCACCCGGAGCCCGCCCTCGAGGTCCGTGTCGATGCCGTCGCTCCAGTCGATCTTCGCCGTCATCTTCCCGTCGATGTCCGTCAGGCCGGAGATGCGGAGGACGAGGTCGCCCGTGCTCTTCTTCTCGCCGTCGTCGCTCGCGTCGCTGTCCATGGAGAAGTAGAGCTTCTCGTCGCCGTCGTCGTAGAACGCGAGCGACGACTCGAAGTCCTCGTCGACGTCGTCGGACCAGTCGACGCTGCCGACGACGTACCAGTTGATTTCCTCCTCGCCGTCGACGCGGACGAGGAGGCTCGACGACCCCGTCTTCGCGCCGTCGTCCTCGCCGTCGAGCGTCATGTAGGCGAAGAACTTCTCGTCGTCGCCCTCGAGGAGGTCGACGAACGTCACGGAGCACGCGAAGTCCTCCTCGACGTCGTCGGACCAGTCCACGGAGCCCCCGAGCAGCCAGTTAATTTCCTCCTCGCCGTCGACGCGGACCGACAGCGTCGTCGTGCCCGTCTTCGCGCCGTCGTCCTCGCCCTCCGCGGACCCGGACACGTAGAGCTTCTCGTCGCCGCCGTCGGTCCAGGACATCCAGCCGGACACGCGGTCGTCGTCGTCCCACGCGGTCACGTCGAAGCCGCCCGCGAGGACGAGGCTCACCTCGTCGTCGCCGTCGAGGGCGAGGGAGAAGGACGCGGACCCCTCGCCGTAGTCGTCCTCGTAGGTCCCGTCGACGACGAAGCGCGCCTTGAGCTTCTCCGCGCCGTCTTTGGACGCGTCCGCGGAGAGCTTCAGGTCCTTGTTCTCGCCGGCCTCGGCCGACGCGCTCCACGCGAGTTCCTTCCAGGCCCCGTCGAGGTGGCGGTACTTGAAGGCGCCGTAGAGCGCCTCCTCGTGGGCCGAGGACCCGTCGGCGTAGGACTTGGACTTGAAGTTCTGCCGGTCGAGCGCGTCGACGCGGTCGACCTGGAGCGTACTGCAGAGCGCGCTGTCCGCGTCGATGCAGAGCGACACCTCGTAGGTGTCGTCCCAGCCCCACTCGAGGCAGCCCTCCTCGTAGACGCCGTCGCACGCGTCGTCGTAGGACGGGTACGACGCGAGGAGCGCTCGGCCCCGCGCGGCGCCGCGCGGCGCGTCCGGCCGCGTCCGGCCGCCGTAGGTCGCCGCGTGGCGCGCGCCGAC